CTGCTCAGAAATTGTCCGCATTTCCTGGAACCGAATGTTTGTTACAACTTTCGAAAAACCCATCATTTAATACAATCGAGACCTATTTATGCAGTCCAGAATGTCAAAATCTATTTCTTTTTGACATACTTTAACAATATTCTCCCATCTGTACTTACATCTTCTCATTGTTCTTATTTTTATTTGTAGGCATTTTGTCCCCGTTATCCCATTATCAAATTACGATGTTTCTCTTTAAGTAATTTTCGTTATTATTGGTTTCCCTGCCGCATTTTGACGTGCAAAATAATCCGTGTGTGTCCGATGTCTTTTGTAATATTTCGTAATTTTTTATTTTTTTAAGTGTTGCTAGTCAACTACCTAACCCCAAAGCTGGAGGACTATCAATTTACGGCTGTTTACAACTTCTTACTTAGCACTTTTGCAGCTAACCTCAATGTCTGGACACCGTTTGCCCAATCCGTGTCTTCAGAACGCGTTAAACCGCGGTAACAAGGGACCATATAACACTGTGCTTGATGCATGACAGAACTGCTTTCTCTAGGGAAAAATATTTGTTTATTACACAGGCAGTAGATTCTCTTTGGAGTCGATGAAGTGAAATTAGAATGCATGGTCGGCTGCTGCAAAGAGTGTGCCATTTAAAACGCGATCCAACAAGAATCACTACGATGCAAGAATGAAATCAGAACGTATGGCCTTTGTAGCGACCTAGCGACAAGGGTGACCTTGAGTCGAGTGTCACGGGGGAGGTTTGGAAAGTCTATTATACTGGAGTACGCCTGCTTCTGGCTTTATTTTTATACCGTAGAGTGTGACTTGATGGGTTGCATTTTAAATGGTACACTCTATACTTCACGACCGCAAAGAGTTACGAAATCTGCTTATATAGCTTTGCGGCTAGTCCGCCATCTTGAGAATGTCATGCTGCAATACAGGGTATTTAATGGCGTAATTTTATGATTTTTAAATGTTAAAGTTCGTAGTCTGCGTGGTAGATACATGGCAGCGGATCTCTTCTATGTCAGAGGTGATCAAATTCCACCAAACCTGTCACATATAAATAATGTCCGAGGGTCAGGCTTTTAATACCGGTTTATTTCTCCGTTGCATAATTAATTTCGTCCACAGCGCAGACAAAAGCACAGACACATTAAGTGCTTTAAAGAAGTCGATTTCCTAACTTCTCCGCTCACTTTCACAATATACAGCAAGATTTACAGAGCATTCTGGGAATAATCAACTTCTGTTGTTAATTTGCCTTGCAGTCATTAAGTTAACAATCCTGTCTTCTATTTAATAATGTAAGTTTAAAACATACATGATATTTTTACTGGCTTTATATGGGTATAAAAATTGGTCGCTTCAGCCCTGTAGACGAGGGCAGTAGCTCAGCCAAATCGTTGATATCTACCTGCAAATCCAACATCGAGACGTCGTTCAAGAGCTCAAGAGTAAGTACGTCAACGACAGACTTTCCGAATTACGCCAGCGTACACGTGGTGACCTTGCCTCGTTCGGGGGATACATTTACTTATCTCCAAAGTAGAACGTTAATAGACACGAGATTTAGATCGCAAAAATCTTCGAGTCGAATCTTGTCCACTGATAGTTGCAAGCTGCATCCACTGTCGTATGGGTCTGATAGAAAGACGAACTGTGATCTTGTTTTAGTGTGGACAAAAGTAGTACATGCATGTAGGATGTAGATTATCGCGGCGAAAAAGAGATGATTAGATGAAAAACGCTGCGAGAAGGGCCTTTCTTGAGAAACGGCTGATCGAGAAATTCCCCACGTGACTGAAGAACATTTTACGGGCCTGTCCATGTCTGTCGATCGCGTTTTCGATAGTAGGTAAGCAACCCGCATGGCGCAAGACTGGGACACGTGATCCCATTGCTGGAACACAATGTTTTCCAAAAATGGCAAGAAAGGTAGAAAAAATTGTTGAACGACAGACTTCGGGTCACATTCATGCGAAAATGAACATGCACTGTAACAACTTTCCAACAACTTTTATAGCAAACTAGCATTTAATTACAATTTATTGTGCCAGGTACATTTCAGCCTCAGGGGCTGTCTCTCCTCAGTGATTTTATGTTTGGTTCAAACTTAAGTGTTAAAATGTGTCGTCCTAAAAACTGTAAAAGGTCACAATTAAGTCCGGTTATACATTATAATCACAATTAAATATCTGGTAATTATGAGCTAAAAATTATGCATTATATATTCTCATCTTTATGATCACGCCTGCTTCATATTTAAGAGATCTGAGTTTAAATTTCGGCCTGGAGATCTGCTATTACAGTTTTCTGTGACTTTCCCCCAGTTCCTTCATTTAAATAATAGCACTTTAGAACAGGCCACGACAGCTTACTGCCATATCCTTCCATGCCGTTAAGTAACTCAAGACTCACTCAGTGTAGTATTCTCTATGCAATATCATTTTCAACTTACGTAACATAAGTGAGGCAATGCAATTTCGTATGACGATGTTAAAAACCTGATAATATCCTAGCATTCGTCCTAAGAGACTGAAAAATAAAAATTTCACTCTTCATTGAAATTTAGTACACAAGGTCGGAAATCTAAAGGCATATTACATTTTTGTACGTATGGTTTGTTGAGTAACGTTAACAACAAATGTCTCCGCTGGTGTGCCCTTTTAATCAAGTTAACTTTTCTTGAAACTAATACGTCTCATAGGAAGCAGGTTCAGTGATGTAATATGTGGAGCCTCTCATTATAGAGACGGCAGCACAATACTGATCTGGGTTTCGGCGGGCGTGGCACAGTGTTTGGCAAACCGTGTATACTTCATAATTTTTTTAAAAAAAAAAACCTGTTGCGTACGGCCAGGCGTAAATATCTGGTCACGGCTTTAAAAGATTTGAAAGGAAACTGAAGACAGACAGGCAGACAGACTGCTGCAAATGAAAGACTCGGTATCATTGCTTCAGGAATATACAATCAAGGACAACTGCTGACTTTTAATCGACATGATCCGTCTCATGAAGGAACGTGTTTTGAGAAATTTAAAATCGTGTAACGGTATTCGCGTTCCACCCTTCACACAAAGCAATTTCAGGAACACCTTTTTTATCGATTTATCTTTACCTTCTTTCTCGAGCCGTTTAGAAGTCGACAAATCAACACTCATATTCTAGTTAGCATTTAGGTTCTATGGAACACACACGTTTAGAAGACACGTTACATCACCATTATTATTTCTTAACGTGTATTTACGTGCTAAAAGTAACGTACTTCATATTATTTATTGTAACTTGTCTGTTGTTTTGTTTTATTTTATTTATGGAATTTCTTGGACTACCTTGTTCGATTCATGGTATTCTACTGAGCATTATTCGAAAACGAAGATTTTTATGGGGTTGTCCCATTGGTTCATTAATTATTTTTTCATTCCAACAGCATCTCAACGCCAAAATTGTAACGATACCAAACTCCCTTCGATCGTGCTTCTAAAGTTGGTCACTCTGCTTTCAACGAATTACTTTATGAAAAGCCACGTTCTGATACCTGCCTGCTTGTCACGTCATTTCCTGACGACATGGGCTGACATATGTGACGTTACATATGTGTAACTTAATCTGATAAGATCAATTTCGTGAAGAAATTTAACTGCTAAGTAAGTCCAATTTATAATTAATATGTATAAAATATTAATTTCATTATTTACGTAATGATATATGCAATTCATTAATTACATGTACCGGATAATGTACGAACCGTTTGAAGGGTGCGTCCTTAAACCAAAACTTGCAGCTGAATATTTCTTCCATTATGTTATTTCATGTGTGGTTATATCATAAATGGTTGAAAATAAGGGAGTTTAGCAAGCGTTATTTGTTAATCACATTCAGTGTTATGCTTCAGTTTAAATTATGAAACTAGGAATACCAGAACGAAATAAAGTATATGATCATTTTTTCACCAGAATTTAGAACAAAATCATAATTTAAATCTAAGCCTACTCAATATTTTATTCGAAAATGTGACAGCCATATTATATTCGGAAACAGCAGTAGCAAAACCACATTCTTGAAGCAGATAAGAACAGTTTACATCCGAGAAATGCTTGCAATCATTCAGTTCAGAATATGACTTACTATTAAAAAATTTGCACTATGACATCATCTGTTGTTTTACAAGGCTGTAAAACTTAGTCTCACACAATGAGGAAAGAACACATTTGGATGTTTTGAGAAAAGAATGTTGAGGGTAATATTTGGAATTAAGAGAGAAGAATTAACTGGAGTTTGGAGACAATAGGAAGTTTTGTAATTTGTTATCAGGCGTTAATAGGGTAACCAAATTAACAATCTGAAGATCATCTAAATAACATTTAAGACCTCAGTCTACACTTTTCAACTACAAGGAATTTCTGGTTAATGCTGTATAAGGAAAAACTCTCTAATTACACTTAGACTCACGCAAAATCCAGAAATACAAAATAAAGAGTTTGTGATTTGAAAACCGCTGGTATATATAGTTGTTAAAGAAATCAAGATTCTGATCGAAAACCCTGAATGGAAGAGATGGCGTGGAAGACTTAATGCAAAGACAAGAAGTAGATCATAAAATATTAGTTTTTTGTGATACGGACTTACGCGCCCATGAACAACGGGGAGTTAATTAGCTGAGAAACGATGAACTTCCTAAGGAGGACTGTTTCCTGATTTAGAATTGTTTGTTCTCTCCAATCACCCACATATCAAAGTTGTTATTTATCACACCTTACTGTTGCTAGTTCGATCACTAGCCTAGAATAACCTCTAGTCCACATTATTTAGATTTATTTAGATATCACATCATATGCATCACATGTTGTTCACTCAGAACAGTTGAATAATTCTTTTTAAAAAGGATGTTTTATTTCAGCTACCAAGAGTTCATTCTGCGTTTATTTCAACCGCTGTAATTAGCACTCTTCTGTAACTGCACTCAGCAACTCAGCTCCAAACATGTTTTTGGGTTGTAGGCTATTTCTCGTCATTACCACGGTTCTGACGGTCACGACGGCAGCGTCACCTAACAACGACCATGCCAACGAGTACGATTATGAAGACGAAGGTGAGCCGGCGCCAGCTCCTGTCACACCGGCAGCTGGCAGAGGCAGATTATCGCTTCTAAACACACGTGGCCAGAGGGGTCCTTCGCCCCTTATTGGCAGCCGGGGAACTGCGGCAAAGCAGCAAACAACAGCAAAGCCTGTGGAACCTCCCCCAGAACTGGTACTTTTTACTTTATATGAAACAAATTATTTACATTATTACTCTGTTATTAAAACTAAATTTACGGTTTCTTCAGTCTACTTCGTTTCCTCGCTGTTCAGACTTCAATAAGATGTTAAAACAGTGATGGCTAGTTAATTTTTACTTTGAGGCCATATAAAGTGCCCCAGACTGGGAAGAATCCGGAGAAATATTTTGTACTTAGAAATCTTTATATGTTATAATTATCGAACGGACTTGACGTAGAGCTTACAGGTGCGTGAAGACACAAACATGACATCCTTAACAATTCATTCAGACAGGACATCCAAAACTCTGATGACCTAACAATATAAAAAAGCCATAGTACTGGTGTAAAGGACCACCCGTTCACACAGAGAAGCCAACTGGGATGTCAGCTTATTAAGAATCTACTGTGAAATGTTAGTGTGATTATGAATAATGAGTTGGGAAGAAAATATCATGGCCTATTTTAAGTTACTACGTATGAATTTTACTATAGTGACTGACGGAAACCACGATAGCTTGTATCGATGCGAGGATAGGCGGTCCTTGTTCCAGATCCGAAATAAAGTCTCCCGGATGCGAGCCTGACGCCTCGAAGCTGAGACAACTGTCTCATGTCAGTGCCACGAAGCCGTTGTTTAAGAATCACGCTATATCGGTATATTTTCATTTCTTATGTGAGACTGCTGATAAAACTAACTATCATTCAGTGTCATCAGTCCTGCTTAGTCACGGTACAAAATATTTTTACTGGAAGCTCGTAATTGACACCAGAAATCTGCTGATTCCGAGTACGCCGTTGTGGCCAGTCGGGGATGCATAAATCTCATGGCCTGTGTAACGAATTAAAATTATTTATTTTCAGTTTAGCGTATTAGGCCCTCTGGCCTGTTTCAATCGAATTCCTAGACATTTCGAAAGACTGCCTAGATGCGGGAATACCTCACCTACAACACAATACAACACTGGCAAAGGGCTACACCCATGCGTCGAGCGAGATTCGAATTAGCGATCCCAGTGTTCGACTGGTCGAACAATATACACTCCTCTCCACCACGCGAAAGAAATTACTTTCATAGATTCAAAATACTGAAAATTTTCTCTCTCGTTACTTAATTTGATATTTAGTTCTGGCTTTGGTAAACGATTTTAATTTGGATAGCCTTTGGTTCACACCATATGGGACTATTCTTAATTTCAATAGTGTTTCAGCTAGCAGCTATTTCTCATGTTTTATGGGATTATGCACACTAATGGAAAGCTTGACTACTAGCAGAAAGACTGACACCATTTAATACATCGAAAATCTCGAGCTTTGTTTACTAGTTTCAAAGGATGCAATCTCAGTGTTCAGTTTACATAAATTTATGTATTGTTATATTCAAAACTTCCTCCCCCCCAACCTTCAACTTATTTGTTTGTTTCTTTTTTGTTCAAGCAGTGTGAAAGTCATCGTGACGAAATTCTCTTTACAACAACATAATATTTTCCTGCCCCACACTTTTCCCGAAAGTAAAATCCTATAGGACAAAGGACATTTATAAGGAAATTTGCCAATGCCGTAGTCTTAAAAATGCAGCAAAAGTATAATTCTCTGATAAGAAGTACAATTTCGTAATATAAAAATATTCTTACACAGGGAATTTGACCTTATCAATAACCGTTACAAACTTGGTTGTTGCAAGTTCATACAGTGTTTTGGTCTTTTATTTTCATAGAAGTCCGTGGCTCGGCTTAAGAAAAGCCGAATCATTTTTTAAATATGATAGTTACGGCTGGCAAGCTGAATGTCGGGGAATACGTACATACGTACACCGTCAGCAGGCCTACGTTTTTTAAACACAGGCAGTGAAAAGAAAACTGACAAAGCTGTAGCCAGCGTTTTTGACATTCCTCTGAGGACACTAAATTACATACGAACAGGACAATAAAACTGTTAGTCTAGAAGAAATTATAATATTTATTTATTTATTTATAAATTATTTAACGACGCTGTTTGCAGCTCAGACTATAGACCTACAGCGTCAAATCATAACATGAACAATGAAAAATAAACCGGGAAAGATATAGAACGAAGAAGACGTAGCTTAATTTAAGATACCAGGCAGACATTTTTCTCGAGGGACTGGGCAAGTACACGAAACCTTCAGTCAGTATAATTGGTACAAGAGCCAAGATTTGTAACCTGGGGTCTCCCATATACGAAACAAGAATGCTGAACACTCATTCTTAACGTTCGATAAGTCTGATATCGCATTCAAGATCGAAAATCTATAAAACAAAAAGTATTTTAATTATCCCAGCTTCCGCTGCATACAGTATTATGATAATAACCATATCATATACCGAAAAATAACAAAACTGTGTTTGCAATTTACAGCGGGTTTAACACTCAGGACAGCAAAATGAATTTCCTTCACATACACTGAGGGTCTGAGACTCAGTCGTTTCTCTTTATAATTTCAGTGGGCAAAGCTTTGGGACTGGAGGATATCTCCATCACAAATTCTGTTCATTTCATCACCACAATGTGTTCTTATCAATTTTCTGCGTGCCAACAACCTCGACAGATGGATGTTATTTATTAATCATCAAAAACTCCAGTCTACATGTGTAGCCAGTTACATTGCTAATGTAGTTTCTTAATTCGATGTTCCAGGTGGAGTCAGAAGACCTGGAGGAAGAGGTAGAAGAAGGACAAGACGACATTCCTGCCACCACCACAACTGAAGCACCCAAGAAGACCCTGGTTCGTGGAGGTGTCAGACCTTTCAGAAGCAACGACGAACTTCTGGCGGCCCTGAAGAGAAGGCGAGAGCAACAGGTTTGTATGGGTGTGGCCATTTCCTTGACCATCTCGTGAATTCCATGAATCATTAACTACAGGTCAGGCGCAAAGACCGTTAATACTCCCAAGGCTGTCTGGAACGCGCTGGATGCGTTATATGGCACAGTGAAATATATGTGTGATTCATTTCCTGCTCAAAATGGGCTGAAAAAGGGAGATGATTTATCGCCATTAATTTTCATAACCGGTGCAGTCGATTTCTATTGCTAATGCATTGACTTCTCGTTTTGCTGCAGTCGTTTCTTAAGCAAAACATTGGTTACCGTCTAGGAATATATACAGGCAAAGATGGAGACATTTATTTTACGTAACACCGTAAATAACACTAAAGGACGGTATTATATACATAGGTACGTAGGCTTACGTATCAATTTATTCTTTCGGACTTTTTGTGGTAAATTAAAGATAAACAATCACAATTAAAACCAGAGGAATAAAGCTCATGTTAATTGTGTTAGTTGTGTTAATCCGGCTAACAATTTTAAAAACGAAAACTAAAAATCTTGTGTCTTAGTTTCGTGACTCAGTAGTATTCATGTACTGGAACACAGCTGAACCGATAAGATAAAATACATATTTAGTCAGTCCCAGGCAGCCAGGGCAATTATCAACTGCCTCGCTGTAAGAGGATAAGGGAATAAATTCTATGAGATGACAGTCACGCAGATAGTCTCAATGTTCTTCGACATTTACAGAACCCTAAACCCCAAATCACCTTTGTTGCAGCTGCACGGTGGCTCACCCAAAGTGGTACAAGCATATCCCACCCCGTCTTCGGTCTTACCAGCGGAAGAGATCAAATCAACCCGCAGTACAAGCAACAGTCAGCAGAACTCTGCTAGCAGCAGCAGGCGACGGTTCAACAACAAGGCTCAGGCAGCCG